GAGTTTGGAAATGACTCGATCACTTCGTTGGGGATCTCGTCTCCTCGTCGGATATTTCCTGCTTGAGCGACGATTCATAACCTTAAAAACATTATCACTGGGTCATCAGCCCATTCTTAGCCACTCAGTCATTACATCTCTGGGTTAGAGGTCTATTGTGCACGTTGACCTATCAATCCCACCTCCCTCATGTCGCTACTAGGCACTTGCGAGGCAGTTCAAAATGGACCCAGAAGATGTGAGCATGGCCCTTCGCGACGCAGCCAATATGCGTGCCCTCCTACCAGCGGCGCTGCATCTGGACTATGCCACACAAGAAAACGTAGGCATCCGATTGAACCTTCTTGCTGATGTTTGTATAGAATGCAAACCTGAGGGCTGCTGCTGCCGCCTCGCCAGTGCGCATGCTCCACTCCAGCGTCTCTTGGATAGGACGGATTGTTTTGCAGGCGATTCCCTGGTACAGTATCTGGCCACCTGTGTAACCGTGCCCATCAGCCATGCCCATCATCCGGTTACTAACCGGATGACTAGTTGAAATCGCGACCCTAGAAGACCAAGTCTCCACCATGTCGCCCATGGTTGCACCCTCCAAGATTCTCTCCGAATCGCTCACGATGAGATCGCGGGCCTCACGCGCGCTTCGGAGTTGGAAGCACCATCGACTTCTCGCCTTAAGTCGATCAAGCTGGATGTGGCCAAATTCGGCGGAGCGCAGTCGGACAAACTCCTCCACTGGCTTTTACAAGTCAGCACTGCTGCTGACGCTCAGTGTATCTCCGACGACGCAACCCGCGTAGCTTTTGCGATGTCGCCTTTGAAAGGTCGTGCGGAAGATTGGGTGTTCTCCAAACGCTTGACGGACCGCCACTGCTTCCCATTTTTCGCGGTCTTTGAGACCGAACTCAAGGCAATGTTCCTGCCACCCAACAGTGACTTTCGCTATCGCTCGCAATATCTGGCTTGCATGCAAGGGAAATACTCCCTTCAAGAATTCATCCATGATCTTCGCTTCTTGGTCGCGAACATTAACGATGAAGAGTCGCTCCCGGAGTCCCTACTGGTGACCGTTTTCATGGACGGTCTCAACCAAGGTCCGGCGCGCACACAGTTGTTTCGCGCCTACCCGGACATCTTTGAAGAAGCCGTCCGAATCGCGCTTTCGGAATCATTTTCCTCCTCCTTCGCGTACGCACGCGCAGCGTTCTCCGACATGGATGTCTCCATGCTCGCCCAGGCATCGGACGACAGCACGTGTTTCAATTGCGGTCGCCCGCGAAAGTTCTCCTGCGCATGCGCGTCCCCTCGCCGTGTGGCGTCAGCCGCCCCACCCTAGCACGGTTCCTCCCGCACCGCGTCCGATACCCCTTCGCGTCGCCCTCCGAGCGGTCCACCTAACCGCTTCAATCGTGAACGCCATGGTGGCTCACGCCCACCATTCCGCCCCGCTCCGAGCTCGAGTGCGGCGGGAAACGGTCGCTAGCAGTAGGCGCGAGGCGAGCTACTGGGGACACCCAAGGTCCTTTGGAGGTGTGTGGCGTGCTGACACACTCTAAGGACCTAGCCTCGGGCACAGACCTTCTTCTGTGTCGCGTTGGGCTCCAACCCAACAAAATGATTTGTTTGGAACTTGTCGTGCCTTGCTTCCCGGCCAGGCTCTCTGCTTTAATCGATTGTGGGGCGTCGAACAACTACGCCAGCCGCTCCACTCTCTCTCGCTTCAACCGCTTACCCTCTTCGGATCCCTCCGACAGGGTTCGCGTCAAGATGGCCGACGGCCACACTGCGTCTCAACCACGCATAATCGTCGACGTTCACATCACCTTTGACGGTTTCGACTCCACCGAACCGTTCTATGTTATCGATCTCGATGAGAGATGGGATCTCATCATCGGGATGTCCTGGCTGGAGTCCCACCAGCCATGGATTGACAGGAAGGCCAAATCCGTGCACAAGGTCACTTGGATCAACGCGAGCCAACCCTGGATTCATCGGCGGGCTGCCGATCGCCTTCCCCCATCCACCACCAACCCGCTTGGCTCTCCGCTCGAGGCGATGAGTAATGATCTCGCCTCTCCTAGCCCCGCAGTGCGCTCAATGGCCCCAGCGCCCGCGGCCCCATCGGACCCAACCACGGTGTTGCAAAATACCCCTTTTGTGCCCCCAACAGAGTCGCCCTCTGTTGTTATCGGCGAGGCTACGTTACCACCCCCGATAGTTGCCTCGACCTTGGCAACCACGTTTATCGAAGAAACGTGTAACTTGCACGAACTCCCTCGGACGTCTTCCGAGATCCTGGCACTGCCAGAGATGAGCTTCCACTCGCTCGTGGAATCTCTCCGCGCCCACGATATCGCCGCCTTGGCGATGATCACAGTTGAAGAAGAGACAGATCTCTTTTCGACCTCGACCGCAGATGACTCGGTCCTCGCGGCTCCTTTGAAGTCCCAGACGTGGGACTCCCTGCGATCCAACCCCTATTTCGATCTCCTCCAAAAATTTGAGGACGTCTTCCCCGACGAGGTACCGTGTCGCCTCCCGGTCGACAAGGGCGTTCACAGTAGTCGACAGCCGCGAGGGTGCCTTTGGCAAAAACTTTAGCGACAAAAACGAAATAAAGAAAAGTTGAATATGAAATTGTAGCGCTGGGAAGACGCTAAAAAACTATAAAACAAACAGGTCTTGAAACGGCATACACGCTCATATATGATACCGAAAAAGTTGAAAACCTTTCGAATCTCACTCTATTATCAAATAAACTCTTACATATAATACTAACAATTGAGAGACAGCCAAAAATACAATAAAACTTCAATCATTACACATGCAAACTCACACTGGCTCTGATACTCGACACCAGCCTCACATACCAACGATGCCTACTGATCCCCACCAACCAAGCAACATCGAACGAGCCATCGAGTTTGTGAAGCGTTCGCGCTCCCGATACGTGTCAAAAATACGAGATACTCGACATGCTAATTGGTAAACGCACAGCTTCGCAAAGAAGGTACCGCTGCAGCCAGCCGCACAGCCGCCCGCTATCTACGGCGCAAGGAACAGTTGGTCCAACAGGTTTGGAAAGAGTTTGTCGACAAGGGCGCCACGACGACCAAGCCCCAAGCGTCGCCCGACATGTTCCTCCGCACAAGGCTCTGACGACCACACTGGCACAGATCATCCAAGAATTTGTACGCCAACGTCGTCAATCCCGTCAACGAACCGTCGCCAAAGATGTTGCTCACTTTCTGCGGTCCCAACACCGCTTGGATTTTGATCCAGAGTCGGAGTCCTCCACTCTAGCCCGTACCGGACGACCTAAAGGGCTCTGTCAAAACTGGGTTACAAAAGGGGAAAGAAAAAAAGAGGTCTAGGCCTCCGTATGTGTGATGCTAATTTACAGCATCGTGATGTATATGTTTCTGATATGTGTGATATTCTGTCGGGCGATGTCAACCGACGGCCCATTATATATTTGGATGAGAGTTATATTCACCACCATTATAGTCTGCATGATGATTCATTATATGATCCTTGTGATGAACTTGATCTGGAAGTGAAAGAAAAACACAAAGGTGAAAGATTTTGTTTTATTGCTGCCATTCTAGATAGTGGTTGTATGGATAGCAAACTCTTATGCTTAGATATATTTCAAGGAGGAAAACGAACTGGTAAACCTGAAACAAAGGATTATCACGAAATGTTTGATCATACATATTTTGTGAGTTGGTTTTCCAAACTTCTCGTCGAAATAGAAGATCTTGGATTAAAAAATGCTGTTATAGTAATGGACAATGCGAAATACCATAAAGGTCTTCCTATCGAAACGCCTAAGTATTGACAAAAAAAGAGTGTCCTACAAAATGCTTGCACGAAGTACGGCATTTCGTTTACAAATGAAACTAAAGCTGCACTTTGGAAAAAGCTAAGTGCGCATGTCAATAAAATTGACATTGAGGTTGTAGCTATGGCACGTGCCTTAGGGCATCAAGTGGTGTACACACCACCATACCATAGTGACCTGCAACCAATTGAGATTGTCTGGGCTATCGTAAAATGCCAAGTATAGTACCAAAATACAATACACAGCGTTATTGATATGGTTATTGATATATGCTAGGTTGGACGTCAGTACACACATGACACAAAATTCAAAGACGTGCATGTGCGGCTGATGGAAGCTTTTGAGAACTTGGCACCCAGCAGCATCAAGGGCTGTATTGACAAGGCCGACAGACAACTCTACAAGCTGGCCGAGTACATAAAGGGGCTACAAGAAGTCGAAGCGAGTGACAATGAAAGCGTAGAAGGCAGCAGCGATGGCGGCAGTGTGACAAGCAGTAACGACTCGAGTGGAAAAGAATCACAGATGTAATAAATTTCCTCGATTTTTATTGGTCGCTTCTTAACATCCAGCTTTATTGTGGAATACTCAGTAAACCTCCTTGTATTGATTCTTTTTTGGCAGGCACCCTCGCGGCTGTCAACACGAGATTGACCTCGTGCCCGGCGCAAAGTATTGTGTAACGCGGCAATGGCCGCTACCTCGCGACCAAGTCGATGCCATCGACGTATTCTTCGCGGCCCGCAGGCGGCGGGTTACGTCCGCGAGAGCATTTCCCCTCACAGCACCCCGACCTTCTGTGTGAAGAAGCCCGGTGGGAAATGGCGTATTGTACACGCCTTTAACAAATTGAACGCAGCCACGATTCTGGCTCAGACGCCGATTCCTCGAGGACGTTATTATCGACGGCATGGGTCGATCCACCATTTTCTCCACCATCGACCTTCGCGATGGCTTTTACCAGATCTTGATGCGTCTATGCGACGTCCCAAAACGGCGGTTTCCACGCCGAGTGGCATGTTATGGGAGTGGCTGGTCATGCCACAGGGTCTGTCCAACGCCCCGGCGACGTTCAATCGTATGGTTACCGCGAAGTTCCGCGCGTTTCGCGACTTCGCACAGTCGTACTTCGACGACATTTATGTTCACAGTTGCGCATCCTCCACGCAATCCGATCTCGACGTTCACCGCGGCCA